TTCCCTGTAATTTACTTCCTTACTTCTGTTTTTTATCTCTTTCTCTCAGCTTCTCGGCTCAAAGGTGCTTTCCTCACCCTTTTTTTTATTTCTCGACCATGTCACAATCGACTACTTCAGACCTGGTCTCTACTATTGCGACGCAACTCAATATCGTCATTGTTGCACTTCGACTACTGGTGGACATGATTCAAAACCCGGACGCTACATGTGGACATGACCTCGGGCTCTTGCCCCTCCAGACCACCTGCCAGTCCGGCATCGCCATTGTTTCAAACCGCCACGAGACCATCTATCAGTTGGGCACCTTGTGAACAACCGGAACAACCGGTACCTCGTTCCGAGCTTTCACCGCTTCTTCCGAGGACTCCATCGCCGTCACCAACATCATCAGCTGGGAAGCGGACTCCCCCTGCCCCCCCCTCCTCCCCCACACTCCACCCCCTTCCTCGACCTTCTGCTCCTTCCCTGTCCCCTCCCCTTCTCCGCTCCCCGCCGATGCCGGCGCCCCCTCTTCCCCTCCCCCACTCTCTTTTCCTCCTTCACCTGTTCTCTCTCCTCCTGACTTCGCCTACCCACCTCCTTCTTCTCAGGCCCTCCTTCCTCCCTCTCCTTCCCCATCCTGTTCACTTGTCTCCTCCGCCCCCCATGGCCCCCTTCCCTCTCGTCCCCGCAAACGCCGCTCACCTTCCCCCTCCCCCTCGCCTTCGCCTTCCTTTCTCCCTGCATCCCCTCGCCCCCACTCAGACACATCTTGGGAAGACGATTGGAGCACCAAAGATGATGACCTCCTCCTCAGCCTCAACTGCAATGAACGACTTCGACCCAGTTGGCGCTACATCGCCAAGAAGATGCAGCGCCCAGAATCCCAAATCCGCGCTCGTTGGGCTGAACTTCTTGAACTACAACGGCTGGCTACATCCTGATCTTCATCTTTGAATTTTGACTCACCGACTCACGGACACCGGAAAGCGACTTTCGCCGATGTTCTTTTTGGAGCTCTTTGAATTGATACTTCACTTTCTCCTATGATTCCTTCCCTCACGTCAAACTTTTGATTGTTTTCCTTATTCAACTGCACCTTCTCCGTCTCCATGCCCTTGTCCTGTCAGCCTATCGGCCCAAGCTTCGTCTCACCGCCTTTGTTTTCGCAGCTTTCACACGATCGATGACCAATTCACCTGCGACAGGTATCCGGCGCTCTCGCCCCTCCATGGCCTCCTATCTTCGGGATTCAGATGAACCTGTCCTCATCTCCACCACCTTCCCCAAGAAAGCGCGTCCGACAGAACCTCCTACCTCCTTGCGGATTACCTCCACTACCTCGATCCCATCGAGTACGAGCACATCCACGGCGACTACACTTCCCTCGAGCGACTCTACTCCAATTTCGGCTCGACCTTTGGTAGGACTACTTGTCAAGCTCAACGGCGAGGAGATACCCTTTCTGATCCCCCGACCATCACGTCCTTTTCGACTTCCTGAGGCAAAGCCTTTTTTTATTTTAATTTCAGAATTCAGACGGGGCTTCCTGTGAAAACAACCCCTTTACCGACTCCATTTGATGTGCTACCGTGATTTTGCCTCGGCTTGCCACTATTACATCTCTCCGTTTCTTCCGCAGCCTTTCGGTTCTACGTTGCTTCTTTCTCCTACCTTTGTTCGACATGGACAATATGGATCTTCAACCAGAAGATGTCCGTGTCCCTTCGGGAGATTCATCTCCGACACAGGTTCCTCCTGATGATAGCCTTCCTCACCAGGATCCCACGTCTGACCTCACGCCTCCTGCGGACCCGGCTCTATTGACGAGCATTCCTCGCTCCGAGAACCAATACAACGAGGACTATACCGACTACGCTCGTCAATTTCACAATACCACCTATGGATCTTGGCCCGTCGCTGAACCTTTTGAAGAATGGGCTTGTCGTCGATCCCATAACACCCGCTATTGGTTCTATCGCGCTTGGTTCCACCACAAGACCCTTCCTTGGGATCACGAGGACATTGAATACTACAAATCTGCAACCGGTTACTTTATCGATGACCACCCCGCTTCCCATTGGCCTTCGATATACTCACGTGTGTGGGGCACCCGGGGTTGGCAGCTTGTATTATCTGCCACACAAAGCCTCTCCATTTGGACACAATGCGAGGAATATGAAGCCGCTCTTCGTGCTGAGGAAGAACGCATTGCAGCTGCTCAACAACTTCATCACATACCTCACCCCCGCAGGGGCCAAAAGCGACAGGCTGTGGACAATCTGGAACATCTCAATGTCCAGTAGCAAATCGAAGCCCTCTTGCAGAATTTCTCTCAGCTTGATGTCTCCAAGGTACCTATCCTTCAGGGCCTACCCGTTCCACACCAAGAACAACTCATCAGCGGGGTCGTTCACACCCTCAACACTTATCGTGATGAACTTCACCAAGTTTACCAACCCGATGACCCTCTCCTGCCCCCGGGCCGCTCCACTGCAGCTTCTTCGGCCCCTCCTGGCCAGACTGCTACCTCCGATCCTGTCAGCGAAGGCACCGGACTTCCTCTTCCCCTACCCGATTCAGGATCTATGTCTCTGAATTCCACATCGACCGAGTCTCAACACACTATGGAACCTCCCTTTCCTACTGACTGCCCTCGAGATTGAGCTCGACTCTTGTTTTTCAACTGCAGGTCGAGGCCGTACAAGCTTCCCTGCACTCAACATCATCTTCGCTTTGCAGAGAAAATTTACTTGAAATCCTTTTTCCTACTTGTCTACTTCTCTGCTTTTGTTTCCTTTCCTTCAATGTTTTCCATTAGATCACTTATCTCAACTGTCCTTCACCGCAGCCATTGGCTCCTATTACTTCCACTGCTTCACCCGCTACTCCCCTACTCTTCGCCCTGATCGATGATTTCGTCTCCCGGTCTTCGCGTACCTGAGCCGTTGACACACCTGATTCCTACATCGCGTACATCTTGGAGTGAAGTTCGTCAACCTATTGAAACCTTGGACATGGTTCCTGACCTTTCTACAGTCCGATTTGAATTGGATGTCAGCTTGCTTGTTTATCAACCCCTGAACTACATCACTGTGACCCTAGACTGGCAGCAACTTGACACCAAAGAGTACACGGTTGATGATCTCAAAGATGTGATCTACTCCCGCTTAGGTCTACATCGTACGGCCTTCTGGATGGCTCTTCCTTCGACCGGTGATTCACGCGTCTGGGAAGTCCCACACACATGCACCCTTGAAGACCTCGTCCTTTACTACGTCAACTCTCGACGGGTACGCCCACAGGGACTAGCCACTGAATACCCACGCGACTCCGTTCCTTTTCCCTACCGACCTCTCCACACAGTCGCTCCTCGCCTCCATGATGACGCCATTGGTCAACTCCGGCTACCACTGACCGCCTATCAGACTTACCGTGAGATCCGTCGCTTCTCTTAGTCTCACCCTACTTTGGCGCGGAGCTTAAAATCTTGCCTCCCTTCGGGGAGGCGTGTGTGTGTAACCCTTGGAATCATAGGGATCCTTTTGGATTTGCTGTGCCTGTTTTCTTACACTTTCGTTCTTACCACAGCAGGGGGTCCAGGCAGTTGTGAGTTGTCCCTGGACCAACGAAGACGGGCTCACAACTGGTGAAGCGAGAAGGGACGCCTTCTTGTGTACCTGCAATTTTCCATTTTTCAAATGGCAAGAGGCTAAGCCAAGAACCTCACGACTTGATGGTTTCTTTGAACTGCAGATGCGAGCGGAACGTCGTCAGCCTTGTTTCGTCCGTCGTTCGGTCTTTTCCTTTTGGGCCACTTCTCCGGTTGAAGACCCCCAGGATTCGTTGGTTCCCTACCGGTACTCTTAGGAATTGGAACCCTAGGCCGGCGTGTGGCACCGCATTCAGTTCAGTACACAATATCCTAAGTGTGTGCGGGTGTGTGTGTGTGTGTGCACGTGTCATCTGAAAGGCCGCCACAGCTCCGTGGTCTTGATGGATCAAGGTTGAGTGATATTGGTCTGCAGCAAGTTAGAGTTGAAAAGCGTTCCAGGTTCTAGAAAGCTCGAAACAGTGCATTTGGAACGCCTGGGGATGTTTGATCACTTCGGGGTGGGAGTTGGGTGATATCTTCGGCTCCAACAGATTCCACTGGATCCACTGGGCGATGTTCTGTATTATTTTGTGCGGTTGACGATCTATGAGAGGTAACTTAGGCACCCCAGAAACGTAGATTCGCGTACAGATTCCCATGCCAACAGGACTATGAAGAAGACATGTGTGCTATTGTTTTCTCCTGGTGCCATGATTCAAGGCACATACACCACCTATGAGACCTACACAGCAGATGGGGATCTCTTTGACCAGAATGCTCTACATCCCTATCGCCTTTTCTTCCGCAAAGACCATGAGGCGCGTTCTTCCTGGAGCCATTCCGGGTGTTTCGCACATGACTTCCATTGGGCCGTGAGGTTGACATCCTTTGTGACCTCAAGATACGAGTTGATATTAAAGAAGGAAAAGTAAAAATAAGAATAACAAAAACCTACCATCAAACACAATTATATAATTCGGTTCAATTACAGTACAGTAACATGTTCATTACATTTGATGTTTGGGGGGAGATCTGTGAACCGGGGATTCTGTCATGAATCATCCTGGACCCTTTCTGCTGCCCTCATATTAACAACGTATCTTCGCTAAAAGCTTCCCACCGTTCGTTTCAAATTCCCTGGGAAGTGCCCCCCATGGCCATGCCCAATGGATGTCCAAAAGATGTCTCGGTCAAGGGGACTCAGTTCTCACCAGACCCGGGTGAAGAAATCCTGATGAACAGGCACATTCTGATTTACCAAGCTGCCCAGGATGGAGTGAGGATGGAGCCAGAAAATCCTCACCGCAAGTCCTTTTCACTTCGGCTTCGGTCGTCTTCTGCACCCGAAAATGCAATTGTCTGCAGCCTCGGCACATCCAGCCCCCCAGCCAGTGAACGGTTCCGCCACCTCCAACATTCAGCCATGGCCGTTCAGCCCCGACGCATTCGCGGAGCAGTGCTCTTGGGCCTGTGCTTGTGCAGCTGGGCCGGTTGAGAAGGATGAGATGAGTTGCAGAAGTCAAGAAGGGTGACCCTGTTAGCACAAGGAGCATGACAGAGCGAGCCTTTCTGAACTTCAAAATTTGTGGATACTTTTGGAGAATCACCCAGGAAGTGCAACCACTGATTCTCTCAGTCAAAGCTTTGGAGCTAGCAAAGGCCTGTTGCCTACAGGGGTCGCTGAATTTCCTGTACTGTAACATACTGTAGCTGTAGCTGTTCCAGACATTATTTGGGAGCTGGACATGATGGACATGCTTTAAGTGTTGCTGTAAAACCCGAGGCGCTCTCGCACACTCTAGGTGTATTCATTCAAGCCTTCAAGCCCTTCGGCAGCCAGCTGAGGCAGCATTTGGACCTTTTCTGCACAGCAAGCATTCACCAAGACAGAGGTCATTGAGGAGACGGATGTTTCCACTGGTGTGAAGTTGGTGGCAGAGCATCCACTCCTCTTCAGTGCCTTGGTGATGTGTCATCTTCACGGTCGGTGAGATGGTAGACTTCATGGAGAAACGAATTGAGCTTTACACCAGGGAAGAGACCCACAAGACTATCTTCCTCTATATACAACCCCAGTGGTTTTCAGGTTCCATGTTAGTCTTCCAGGGTGTAAGTCGATCCATGACGAGAGGAGCCCATGTCAAAGTTGATCGACTTCGAGACTGCGGTTTGCGTATGCTTGTTCTGTCAGGCTGCAGGCGAAATCAGAGCAAATGATCAAACGATGTATGGTTAATTTTGCCTGCGAACAAAAAGCCCTCAAACAACCTGGATATACCTGGATCAGTACCTGGATCATTTGTTCAAAACAACGTCTACCGTGCAGGTATTCTTCTACCGTATTCTTCTACCGTATGCTTTTTTCAGCAAGAAGCCATACGTGGCAACTCTTGCCGTACCGTCAGAGACGACGGATCTTCTTCGCGTCGCGTCTTCTCGTCCTCGTCGAGTCTCGCCGGAGGCTTCCTGAGCATGGCCCTGTGCGGAGCGCTCTGCTGCACCGAGAATTCCGCCACCCCTCGCCAGGGCAACGCGGAGGACCGCGCGGACTACAACAGCCTCTTGGTGAGCGCATCGGGTGTGTGTTCCGGTGAGTGGAAGGTTGGAAGTCTTGGTCCACTGATTGTGTGAAAGCAAAAGTGGATTCTGAAAACTCACAAAGTGCTTGAATATCTTGAATAGGGAGCTAAGGGCAAGAAGATGATATAGAATCCATTGGGGTTCATTGTTTGAATAATTTTGAATATGCAGTTCAGTTATATATGATACAGTGATACAGCTTATTCCATCTAGAGTGCCCTGCGATGATACACATTCGTTCGGATGGGGTGAAGTGTTCTTGAAACCAGTTGCGCCAATCACTGGCAGCGGCCCGGTAAAGGATGGTAAGTGTAAGTGTCAAAAGCAGGGTGGTGTCTTTCTCAGAGACCAAAGTGAGCTCTCCCTGAAGCTGCAATGGTCGCACGGCCAGTTTCACCCTCAAGTCATGTCTACTACGGCCGCTGGCTTTTCATAGGTTCATGTGCGCCTGGTTCATTCAGCATGGGAGTCAAAAAGACACAAACCTGGCTAACCTGGCCATCACCAGTACAACAGAAGATTCTATATTAAGGGAAACGGTTCACCAACAGTCACCTAGTTGTCCCTTGCCAAGTGTTAGGTCTCTTTTGTAATTTGTCCATTCAGAGCTGAGGCTTCTTGATGATTCAGAACATCCTTTGCTTCGCCTCCGGCATTGCACCCTGGCATGTCAAGCCTCGACACCAGATCGAAGCAGGTTATGAAGGAAGCCAAAGACTTCCCCAATGATTCACCAGACATTACACGGTTTCTTGAAGACTGTTTGGGTCTCTCCTGCCCTCTTTATCCTGGTTCCCACAGATTCCTCTTCATTCGCAGGTGAACGCTTTGACCATCATCGACATGGGCATGACGGTGTCTCACCAGTCGGGCAACACGTCTCACACGGGGCGTCTCATCATGAACGGCGGCGCCAAGTTCGGACACCTCTTGGCCTCCTTCTGCTTCGGCCGCTGGGCCTCGCTGGAGACGGGGATCTCTCGCTGGAGACGGGGTCGCAGTGGGCGACGAGGAGGTGTTCCTTTGTTTTGGTAAAGAAGAAGAACACGAGAGCACACGAGATCTGCTGATCGAAGTCAGTTCGGCTTGGAAGGGTTGCCTGACTCACCTGATAAAACCATGTGCCCTTCTTTGGTGTCCTGTGTTTATGTTTTGGAGCAGGTGACCAGGTGTGTGAAAAAGGTAATTAGGGCAACAGGGCTCCAAAAGGACTTGCACATATGAATTTGAATGAGTGTCTTATCGTGAGGAGAATTTCAAGACAATCAGGGTCTTGAAGTCTTGGAAGCCCCATCTCAGTTGAACAGGAAGAAGTAGAGCGTCCCGTTGACTCAACATCTTCGAAACAAAGAAACCAACTACTTCGATCAGGGACAGGTGAGCTGCAATCCTCCACCATCCTCTACGTTCGTCTCTACCGGGAACCGGTGCCCGCATCGCCGGCGCTTGAGGTTCCTTCTTCGCGGGCTTCAGCAAGTCTGACTGCGAGGCCATCTACTCAGGCCTGACTGGGTGGTTTGGTGTTTGGTGTTTAGCTGTTTTTCGCTGAGTTTGTGACCCTTGAATTCATCTAGAAGTGAATTTCCTGTCAAACTTGCATCAGATATCTGTCTATCCATTAAATCATATTGTATCTATTATTGAGGAACCCACTAATTCACATGTTGACCATGTTTGGCAAAAGGATGCATATGAATGCATATGATATAATGATTATCACGCAAGTTATCTTTTGATGCATCCGGAGGACTTGTGCGCATTCCCCGGATTTGCGATTAGTTGTCCGAGTCCAAATTACCATAAATTACCACATTGGCCGCCTCGAGAGAAGATCCCAGCAGAGACATGAAGGTTTTCGAGACTGAGATAATGGTCAAACTATATATATATATAACTTAATATAACCCACAAGATCTTGAAAGGCAATGTTCTTTACTTTGCTGGCGTCGGACTTCGAGAAGTTATGTGGTGGTTCGATCAGCTGATCGATTTTGGTCGCAACAAGCCGCTAGTGCATCCTAGTGCCTTTGACATCCTTTGACAACCCCCAATCATGTTACTGTAGAACGCTCTTGTGACTCAACACCAATCCAAGAATGCTGTGAAGATGGTGATCATATTGATAAAAAGGCTGAATAATCATTGACAGACCAGCTTGAGGATGGTCCCCCACGAGAGGTTCCTGACCCACGACGCCCTGTTGGTTCGAGGCCGCTACTCCCCCAACTTGTTGGCTGCCACCATCGCGGTGGTGCTTGGATGCACGGTGCACTACTGCAAGGAGCATGGCGGTGCGGGCAATGACAACACTTCGGATGCTCGGATGGCGAAAGGTTCAACTCACGACTTCCCGATTCCGAACCTGTTGAGGGGTTGAACCTGTATGTTGTAAATCTTGTAGAGATGGAGACAGTCTTCAGTCGCCATGAGTTAGCCATTCAGCATCCAAATCGACCGAGGTGAAAGATTGGGGAAGTCCTTAGACTTGTTAATAGGCCAAATCCTGCACGAGGATGCACTAGGTCGGATGCCCTGGTATGCCCCTTCTTAGGGGAATGCGCAAAGGGCACCTCAATGACAGGTTGTTGGGACGTCCCTAAGCATATCGAAGGCAATTTGAGGGTTCTGCTTGCTGGCTGAAGGCAAGGAACTCAAGTTTTCTTTGTCTCTGCTCAATCCTTTGGAACTTGACAGTCTTAGGCAGCATACTGTGCAGTCTCGGGAATCTGAAGTTGATCTCTTCCCCATTCAGATCAGAACATGTTGTGTTTTCTTAGTCCAAGCAAATCCCAGTGGTGTCCACAATCCAGATAGCCCGGAGCGCTCCAGGGCTATCTGGGGAAAAAAAAAGGCCTTAAGATTTGCAGCACATGAAGATGAATCGTGACGTTCACCTCCTGTAGGTTGTCCATTCTGTTCACACGCTGACAAGTCTCAAGAGTGAGAATGTCTTGTCCACGACTCTCTGATCGTTGAACATGAAGATGCACAAATTAGAAGACTACAGCAAAAGATCGAAAGTGAAAGACCACGAGTCAGCAAAGCGACCCGCGCCACTCGCCAGCACCCGGGCAAAAGCAAGGAGCTCGTTCCGAGCAAAGAACGGAAGGACGCCCACCAGAGCACCCTGTGGGAGGACCTTCCCTATACATTTGGTCGCGCGAGCTGTGGGTTTACCAGGGAGATCAGGACAAGACTTGTATAAAGCCACAATAGCCTTCCGCAGCTGCAATACAAGGTCCTGAAAGTGTGCAGGTCGTTTGTGCAGTCGAAAGCCCCGGATGTGAAAAAGAAAGCAAGTTCCTGATATGTGCACATATATTGCAGGCCCGAAATCCAATGCAAAGACTTCAAAAATGTACGGAGTTGGTCCCAATCAGCATGACTGAGATCTGCCTTAGAAGGTGGCGGACCATCAGGAATGTTGAAGACTAGGTCAAAAGCTTGTTCCGAACAACTCCAGGCAAGGCCGGGGTAACACTTCTGAAAATCTTGAAGGCACAAAGGCTTGGGAGGTGAAGACGCATCAACAAACTCCTCAGCACATTCAAAGCCAATAAACTTGTTCAGTTGCGTCAGCACTTCCTGTTGGTGTAACACCGCATCTTGAAACATCGTCTTGTCCCGTGGTGCAATAGCGCAACGTTGTAACGCAAAGTATTTAGCCACTTTGTCAGCCACGCGGTTCAGCTCAACATGTTTCCTTGTGGTACCAGCTTGTTGAAGTTTAACAGCCGGAATAAGTGAAATCGGGAGGGCATCATCTATATGAGCAGGAATCCAGACCATGGTGAGCACTGGGCCATCACTGGACAGACTACGCAAATTGATAACAGCAAGCAGTTTCTGCCACCACTCAAGGTGTAAACAATTGCGAGGAATACACCGCCTCTGAACAAGAAGATTGACCATGGCCACCACCTCTTGGCAGTCACTATAGACACAAAGGCAACAATCAGCTTTGAGGGTCGCCATAACCACAGCCCATAGTTCCGCCGAAAAGGACGAAAGCGCCAAGTGTGAGACTGTGCCAGCATCAAAAATGGATCCATCCTCATTGATAATGGAATAACCCGCAGCAGTGAGTGGGAAACATTCACTCCAGAAAACCGAGCCATCTGTCCAAACTGAGAGGTAATGATCGGGCCTATCAAAAGTTGCACAAGGAATGTCTGCCGCTCTGTCGACATGAAGCCGGTGGCGGATTATAGGCCAAGGATGCTCAACTATACCCAGTTGCGAAAAGTTTTGACCAAATTCATGCTGAGGGCCAAACTGAAAATGCTCCTGCGCAGCCGGGCATTGTAAAATATGGACCAAAGATTCTTTCGCGGTCTTGCAGAAGCGGCACGAAGGTGACTCAGCAGATTTGGCGGCAAATCGCCTGTCATTGGTGATGGTACACCCTACCAGCTGGGCCTCAAAATGCGTGCGGAGTGGAGGTTCGGATCCACTAATAGCACAGTACTTGGTAGCGAACAGCTTGGAATGAAAGACATCAACAAACCCCTGCGGTTTAAAGAAATCCTTTCTGTTCAGGTTGGCCGTGTGGTCATAGTGAATCTGCACCGCAAACTGTTTGAGGACAGGTGCCAAGTCACGGGCCGATAGTTCCCGAAGGTTGAGCTTAGGCCCATTTCCAACAGCAACATGAAGATCTGTGTCAAAAGAGATGCCGAAAGCAGCAAAGGCATCACGTATTCCTGTAAATAAGGAATATTTGTTGACTGTGGAGAGAGGCGCAGCTCGACAAAGACGATCAAAATTCTCTGGGTCAATGTGCAGGAACCGCATGAAATCAAGAACAGCACTGTAAGCCCGAGCAATATACGGGTCAACTCTGTGCGGTTGCGCCAAAAACCCCAGAACGAGGTGTTTGGCACGCCAGTGTGGTCTGTTGCCCCAAAGGGCTTGAGTGATTTCAGCTTGAATCTTATCAAGGACAGCTTTGGGGATCTTAGTGATGTGGGCAGCATAACTGCATTGAGGGATCACCTTGGCTCCAAGAAGCTGACTTTTGATTTTCCTCGGTAGAGGAAGTGCACCAATGTTACGAATGTCCAGGAGAATCTTGTGGGTCTTTTCCTCAGGGAACTCAAAAGAGTTGCGCTGGGAGGTGTAAAGTTTGGTTCCCAAAACATCAATGACCTCATGAATCAAGAAATCGGAGAATGTCCGTTTCATGGTTTTGCGACCATCACAGTTCGATGCCCAAGCAACAGATTTATCAGGGTTAAGCTTCTGTCCGACAAGGGTGTCCCAAAGCTGGGTGACTTCAAGAGCAATTTTGAGATTGGCAATATGTTGGATGGAAGCCCACAGGTAAATATCGTCAATGTAGATCCTACACGTGATGTGGGGAATATCGTGCAGAAATGCTAGCCATGAGCGCATGTAGGCATTGATGGCAATTAACGAAAACGAGCAACCCTGGGCAACCCCATTCGGTGAGGTTGTGGCAGTATGCATCGTCCAACCCCTATAGGACAAATGTTTACGCAAGCCACTGTATTGCCGCACAAAAATACTCACAACATGTTTGGCACAGCCAAGGGCGAGGAGAATGATGGCAACAAAAGAGGGGATGATGCGATCGAAACATTTGCTTTTGTCGAGTTTCAGGCCGACAAGCGTATCATGGGTCGCAGCAGCTTCATCAAGCTCAAGCCGCAAAGCAGTCGGGATGGCAGCCATGTGGCGACCAGCAATACCCCCAACGATGGAGGGAGGCATAATGGTTGTCCATTCTGTTCATGTTCGGTCAACCAAGGTACCCCGGGTTGGGCCGACGACCTCCACCCGGTTCGTAGTGGCCTCCAAAGCCGTGATACGATGTGACCAAGGAATGCTTGCTGCTCTTCGCCTTCTCTCAGGGTATCCAGAACGGCATCACCCGCCGCTGCTTGTCGCTGCCCATTTGCACCACTCACTTCACTGGTGCCTCGGTGCGAGGGGAATCTGAAAAGGAGGGTTGGAAAAGGAGACGGCTGGTATGAGTCCAAGAGAAACTTGGGGATTTCGAGTCTCACTCTCCTCACTTTCTGTTTCCAAGTTGAATGAACTGGGGGTCAGGAGCTACTCAGGATGACTCTCCCAGCCCCCCGTTTCGTGGGCCCCAGGCTACCTCACCGACGTGGGCACCGGCTTCGGCGCCTGGGCCCGTGCCACCATGAACGGCGAGAAGCCTCCTACCCTCCTCAAGGCGGAAGTGGGAGTCCGGCGGAGGTGTGGAAGTGGGAGTCCGGCCTGATTTACACTCTTGACTCACATATCATCACATATCTAATGCATGGTGACGTGGATGGCATGGTTTTTGTTGGAAGATGTTGGAAGGGATCCTTCATACATCTTCATACCAAACAGGGCCAACTTCCACTTCCATGCGATGTGTTCGTCGGAGTGTAACCACCGCCACCACTGTTAAAGTGGGGAGCAAGTAGTCTTAAGTCCAAATCTCTAGGCCGGAATGGCTATTATGGCAAGTGACATCGGGTTTGGGGGGATGGTGGACATCAACCAGGAATGCTGTAGCGCCAGTGTGGAGTGAGATCCTCCCAACAAACCATACTAGTAACTAGTATGAAATTGTCAAGACCCGAGGCCCGATGCAGAATTGTGATTGCATTCGGGTTTTGTCCAGTTGCCTCTCCACCACCCCTGTCCTTACCCACAGACCAAAAAATGAAAGAGCAGATAGCAGATGATACCTTTCACTTGGCGTAAAGAGAGACGCCAATTTCATCCTCATGGTGATTCGGATCCTAAGTGGTCCAAGTGAGAAGACAGGAGGCCAGTCATGTTGACGTGAGAAGACAGGAAGAATACTGAAGTCAACCATGGTGCACACTTTCAAACGTCAACATGTTTGGCCTCACGCTTTCTCACATAAACTCGTACCAAAGACAAGATGGTCAAACATCCACAGTCTTGGGGTGTTTGATTCGTCCAACTGCCAACCTCTACAGGGTTCTTCCGGAGTCTTCTGGCCGATCGGACGAAAGGGAGCCGCTCACGAGCCCGAGATTGCTCATATTGCTCCCTCAAACACGCAGGTTTGTCAAATTTTTTGGTGGCGATTTCCACAGGAGAAACCCAATGCGCCTTTGACCCAACGACAAGCGAAACAAGATTCAACTGCAGACCACCCCAAGTTGGAGGCAAAAGAATTCCATAATCCGAATCTTCAGGGTCTTGTTCTCTGGAGACAAAATGCTCCCCAACATCAATTTGTTTCCGGCTCGGCATACCAAGCCGAAGTTGCGGCATTGTTTGTTGTCCCAAAATCGATTTTTCCTGACCAGAAGCGATCCAGGTCTTGCTCTTCTTCGCGGGCACCCTCTTCTTCTTGCTGGGCCTCTTGTCCGAGATTTCGCATCGTACACGACGCGCGGTGCTGGGAGTTGCAGCGGTGAAAATTGGTGACGGTGGTGAGGTGCAGGAGATCCTCAAAGAAAGCTTAAGACATTCTGAAACAGCAAAGTCCAGAATGTTTTGAACATCTTTTGAAATTTCAATAGAATAGGGGGTCCGCACATGAGAGAAGTCCACAAGTTTTCTGAGAAGACCGAAGAAGAGGAAAAAGACCTGCCAATTGCTTCGTTCCCAAGGTATTGCATGTTGATCCAGTTCATGTGGACTGAGAACAGATCCCAACCGACACCCTTGCAGGGGAGCTGTCAATAATCGAGGCAGGGGTTATGTTTAGGTCAGAGTTCTTTAGAAAGACTTAGAAAGACCATATTCCAAAAATAATGGTCTTTCATTTCATTCCCCCCCAAGACCTCAAAATAGCCCATTAGCCCCGTAACTCTCCACCAAGTCAGAGTTGGAGTCTAGATCCATGTCTCACAACCCCATGAGCCCGGTGGCCACATGTGGCCGTGACTTCTAGAGCCCTGTTCGCCTGCGTTCACCGTACCTATGGCCCTTCTGGATGTTCACGAGAAGTTCCCTGCCTTTTGGGATTGCCGGAGATTTTGGGGCGACCATACCCCTGAAATTTGGTTTAATGAGACAACCAGTAGAGCTAGAGAAGCCACACACCTTCCCAATGTGCACCATCCACTTTTTGCCGCGAAAAACTCCAACTCTCAGGTGGCGTAGCGGCCAAGGAGCTTCACGGGCCTTACAACATGCAGGGTGCTTTGGTGGCTGCCGGCCTCATGGGCGCGATCTCCGCTGGGCTGGTCCCCGTGGTGAAGGTGAAGAAGACCTCCCCGTGAGGAGAGGGGGGGCGTGGAACACACTGCGAGTTGCGAAAACTCCAGAAATGGCGCTTGGTGTCATCCAGTGTTTTTGAGAAAATGAAGATGTCGTTGAGAGTTTGGAGGACCCTCCAACTTTGAAAGCCCTAAACAATGAGTTCTACAACAGAAGGGTCTATTTCTTTCTTATGCTTTCTCCCGTTCCCTTAGCAGTGTACATGGGCTCCCGAGTGACCACTGTGAACCTTGGTATGCTTGGCGCATGTCCAGCCCGATTCACAAACTTCTCAGAACTCCGATCAATTCAAAGGTGTTTGTGCCATTCTGTGCCTCTCAGGACGTTTGGTGCGGCGATTGGCCGATTTTTTCCGAGATTTAAAAGCTTCACGACCCACTGTGGTTGCGAGCCCTTTGCACGGGTTTGGAGGAGAAGTCCCATCCTCCGATCTCAGTGTGGAGGAACAATTTGGGTCTTCTTAGCTTGCCGATGGATTTAAAATGATTTAATAAGAATAGTCAAATGAGTCAAATATATTTAAATATATATTTTATATGTATATATATATATATGTGTATGTGTGTGTATGTCGTTGTTTGCAATGTCATGCTCAATACAATGAGCCCTTGGAGCACCTCTTTGGTCTTCAGCGATAGATCCACTCGGCGATCAAGAAGTTCTTAGAGGAACCGAGCACCAGCCTATGAATGAGCCAACAAAAATTGCGGATTTGCATACTTGGGAGTTCGTTGCTGGGCTGAACTGGGCGTCACTTGGGGTCGGTCAAGATCCCCAGAGATCCGGAGAAGACTGGTCTGTCAATCCTCTTGGGGCTGAAGGTCTGGACATATTGGAGCACCAGGCGCTCATGGTGTCAAACTCGGGGTTCATACTATAATATAGACCTACCATGCTCCTGTAACATGCATGGTGGGGTCCTCCTGCGGGCAATGGTTTGAGTGTGTTCATTTTGACCCAGACTGGGAGCTCCGTTGGCCAATTACGTACACTTAAGAACTAAGAGTCACATCGAAAACGATGTCACTCACATCTCTTCCCAATCTCACCGACCGGACCACTTCAAGTAGATGCCTCATGCTGCCTCAACATCTTCACTTGGACACCCAGCTTCGAACTTCCTATAGCTTGATCTGCCTTTTTGGACTTTGAGAACCCTCTCGTACACCGGTCCGAATCAACCGCCCGGTCGTCCGAAGCGCGCTCCGCAGGTCGTGTACCTGTCAGAGGACTTTGCTGGACGCCTGCGGCTTGTCGCTGCCAAGGACCCCTCCTCGGTGTCCCGACCAAAGCCGTCAGGGCCTGGTGAGCGACTCGGGAGGTGCCATTTGAGCGATCCACATGGACAGGCCTGATAAAAGTGGGATCTGAAGGATCGTGTGTTTGGTGACCATTGGCATTGCGAGAAGAACCACTTCAACTCCGGCATCACGTGCCAAAGCCGCCGTGGTCCGTGGCTCTGAATTGTGAATCATGTGGTGCCTCAAATTCATGCTTTCAAGTGGGCTGGTTTCAAGCAGGCTTCAGGATTCCTTGTTTGGTAGCAATTGGCCGACATCGTCATTGCGTTGGTTCTTTCATCGCAGGTTGCGCATAATTACATTGAATTCTTCAATGAATCCAACCCCGTTTTTGTTGGAATAACAGTCAGATGTTTGGTTGTTGCTTCATTTGAGCATTGCGATACTGGATTGGCTTCTCGTGTGCTCCCTCGGACGGGCGGGGCTCACTCCATCGCCGTCCGTCTCGGTGCTTTGGTCGACTCCTCTTCACACGTTCCAACCGGTCCAATACTCAAGAACCCGCCGATTTCGGTGAAGGAGTAGTGGTGGTCTCCTCCAAACCCAAATAAACGGTAAGAGGGCACCTGTTTTGGTGGCCTCCCCTCAAGTAGGCGGAAGCAGAGATCCTCCATTGAAAATGACTTCACTGCTGGCAGCCCAGGTGGCCGACTGCCCTGCAGCTCTTTCACCACCTAAGTTCCAGGACAGGTGCCCGCATCCCACATTAGTCAAATTGGGCGTCGTGCGACCGGCGACCAGATATGGGGGCCCAGAAAAGACGACATTCCACAAAGGGCATCGCTACTAGGAGCTACTAGGGGCTCCTGGCCTTACTACTAGGAACACGGTTCGCTACAGAATTCGAGGAACCCCACCCATGTAGACCACCAACCCGATTGTATACATGGCAGTTCAGGGTTTCAATTCACATGGAATTTGAAGAACGTATGAAATGCCAAGTGACCGTTTGCTTCCTGCGTGGGCGGCGTGGCATTTCTGTTCGGCCCCTTTGAGGAACCGTCTGAGACCCGTTTCTGTTGAGCCCGGTTGGTCCGGGCTCAGCGCTTCGCGGAGCGAGTCGTCACGGCCATCCGATCCTCGCAGGCCGATTCGCGGTGTCGAGTCATGCGCCCCGCGGTGAAGAGTGCCTTGCTCAGCCTGCCCTGGAGTCATGCCTTGGGGCTGATGACGCTGTCGGATGAGATGAGCTCCTCGGGAAGAATCCGCCACATCTTGGCTGTTTGGCCATAGCTATGACGGTGTGGTTCGCAAACCTCTTTGACTCGTAGGTGGACGGGGATTTCGATTTCCAAGGGGGTGTAGGGTGCTTCTTCGGTTTGAGCCATCCCCGGACGAGGCCTGGTGGTCATGCACCGGGGACTTGAAGGCCGAGGTGGTCATCTCCACCCGTTTCGAAGGGGGAGGGCCTTGAGAAAGCATACGCCAAGTCACGTTTTTCATGCTTGATGTTTAAGCCCTGAAGATCCTCATCTCGAAGAACCAATAATTTGTGCAACAGCTGAACAAATCGTCGTATTTTGGGGAATGAACGGCGAAGGAATAGAACTAACTAGAAAAGCCCGGATAATACATGATACTACTATTCATTTTTGTGTGTGCTATTGATCCTTGGATGTCGATTGGAACCATCTGGATTGATCCAGGCTTCAATGCATGCATGCGAGCAGCCACTTGCTGGTGGTGGGCCTTTGCAGCACTGCTGGACATGCGCCAGAGAGGCCAGCATTTTGGCCCCACGGGATCATGGGGTGGCTGTCACATCAGAGTGCCTGCATCCGGGTCTTGGCTGTCCATCCTAGGCAGTGGAATCTGACTGAACCATCCATCTCCTGGTTCGCCCCAGCAAGGCCTCCAACCGGACGTGATCTCCTGGGACGCGGGCGTGGCCGCATCCGCGCGGGCGGTCACCCAAGCACGCTGGCAGACGGTGCTGCAGCTGCTGCGGTGCCTGCGTCGTCGTTTCGGGGATCCAACAGATCGTTGATGGAAGAATATCCAGGTCTACTAGAGTCATTTGCTTGTAGGTTGGAGGCCATCGCTAGTAGAAACAATGAAAAGCGAAAAGGAAGAACGGTTTTGACGGTCTTTGGATCCCATGGTTTGGGGGATCATGGGTTCCGCTTGAACTTCCTTTCGGCATCGCCTCCGTGGGCTGTGCCGAAAAAACGAAGCTGCGGTGTCGGTTGAGTTGTGCTTTTTGCTCGACTGCATTAGAGCTTGGGGATTGGCAGCTTTTGGAAGCTGAGAAAAGAACAGTCTCGACGGCAAAACCGTTTGAAGTGGCCAAGAGGGAGAGGGGAGGTAGAGCAATTTTTGAGATCGGAGGCCTGAGAATCAGATGCTCCCAGACGTTCCCACGCAACTTCTTTTCTGTTTCAAAATTGTGCAAAATAATCCACCATGCGGCGCACATTGCCCTATTGAGATGATCCAGGAGTCTAGATTCTAGATGTCAATAATGCAGGCAACATGTTCCAAGGCGTCCCGCGGGGTGGCAAAGCTCTTCTTATGGGTGTCTCTCTACAGATCACTGGCAAATCCTCACCGAAACCCCAGCCTGGATCCGGAGAAAGATGTTGAGAACCCGACACCGTGACCGCCTCAGTTTTCCCCTGGACGGCGCCTACATGACGACCTTGTCCACGTTGCTCACGTCGCTGCTGCTGCAAGAGCGGCGGACGGAAGCGGCGAGCCTTCTTCAGGAGGGGGTGCAACGTGGACGGCTCTGCAGTTCGGTCGCTGGACCGAAACTCTGTCCGTCTTGACTCAGAAAAGAGATGGCGATGCGGCTTGTTGTGTAATGTAAACGATATTAGGTCAACCCAAGCTATAGATGTGACCAGAATCCCGACATCCTGTCCTGAAGAGGGTTCAAGACTAGCTGCAATACTGATGTGGTCACACGTATCGATGACCATGGTCATGTCAGAGCCCTTTTTGGCCAGGAAGTCCAATGGGAAGGCAGCCAGGTCCTTCGCCCTCAGCGCGCCACGTGACACGTCACTTGCAGGGAAGAACAAGACAGTTCAACGCGAAGCTTCTGGCTTGGGAGGTCTTTGTTCGACGGGCTCAGAGATAGACCACTCATAAGGTCTTTGCAAAACCTGCATGGCACCAACATATCTAAGTACCGTGATGTGCAATCACACTGCTCAGTGCGTGCAAATTTAGTTACATTCTTCGTGGCAGTGAAGACTTCACGTGATTCTGAACCAGCTTGTCAGCAGCTCGTCCCAGGTTTGGCACAACCAGCTGTGGCACTTCTTTGAGACAAACATGAAGCAACTCCAGCCGCGGCTGCCCTTGAGGATGGTCCGGTATCGGTGCCAAGCCTGTGATTGGATGGTTTGTTCTGATCAGAGATTTTTGGTGGTATCTGAAAGTAGAGGTGGACACTGGAAGAGTTGCATACTTGAAAGATCTTGAAAGGGAACTATGGATGTTTCGTGGTGCGCTCTGAAGATAGACTCATACGTGTTGTTGATACGGATGGTTTTATAGCCAGACGCCCACTCCCAACCTCGCCTAGACGGGTCGCAAGCGGCGGACCTCCACTGTCGGCATCTCGGGGGCCACCTGTGATACTTGGATGATGATTGTCACGATACAGTCGATGCCGACTTTGGGTCATATGACAGATAATCCAGTCCCCCTAATAAAAACGCCCCCCCCCTAATAAGGAAACCTCGCTCGCATTTTTTCTAATAGGGGGTCCCTGAAATCGGGGGGTCCAAAATAGGTCACCTGGGAAGAGCTTCAAAACCAAAAAGTAAATCAGTAAAAAAATATATAGAATCCTTTATTAAACTCGTATCAAAAATGCAAAAAAGCTCCAAATCGAAGGGTCTTCCTTTTCCCCTACAAAAACCTTCATTAGAATAGTGATTCTTCAGTAGACTAACAGCTAAAGCTTTCGAAAGGTGATGTCGCTGTGCCATGCGGTGTTGCATGACCTCGGTGGCAAGTGCGTTTGCGTGAGTCCGTGCCATTGGGGGAAGGAAAGCCTGCTGGTGTAAGCGCGGCGTGTCATGGTGGATAGACAGGGCGGACAGAGGTGGGCAGTTACGGTTGTTTTTGGAACCTAATAAAAAAATCTCCTCCAAGGTCGGCAATGTTGGTAGTTTAGTAGCGGCTTGAAAGGGCGGTAATTTAAAAACAAATATAAACCGTATTTAGGGGCTTCCGACCGACATGACTTTTTTCTAATAGGGGTCCGTTTTTTAATAGGTACTCGGGATTAAGAACCCACACACAGGGTCACCTGAATCAGAATGTTTATGAATGTTATTGAATGTTAATGTTTACTAATCTTATAAGTTGTTGGTTGCTTGGACTTCAGCGTGAAATAGTCATTGCATATCATTGCAAGGTACTGCACATCACACTAGCAGCTTGATTGTATTCTAGCTACCCCTGACCCTCTCAGGGCAATAGGGCTTGGGTGTGTTAAGGCTTTGATTGCCAGTTGTTGCTTGTGCCCAGGTGTCCACGTGGCAACCATCTCTGAAGTTCGGTCGTGGGGCACAAACAACATCAGCACCAGTCTGGATTTGGCGCTTTCTCGATCAAGCAGAAACCAAAGTTTGTTTGCTCAGTCTCGCGACAGCAGGTATGGACCAGATGGCAGTGTGTGGTAAAAGAGCAATCCACATCACTGTCGCGTATACAATATACAAGAATGAATGTAAGTCCTACAGCCGTATCAGCTGAGCACTGAGGGCCCTGGGACACCAATGAAGAACTCTAAGTTTGATTGCAGAGATTTTGTGCTGCCACGTGCATACGAGCAGAAGTAATACTGTTTTGTCTAGCTATATATATATACACAGTATATATTGTTATCCTCATGGTCGTCACTGCAGAGAGGCGTTCGGCATGTTCGATTTTCTTGATCATGGCATGGATTCATGGATTCGGCAAACATGTTTTCCGCCAAAAACATGCTTTCCGCCAGATGACTTGCCATGTCTCAAAACCCCGTGGTACCCAACGATCCGAGGCGATGAACCTGCGGGCGCTCTGCGATGAAAAGAGCGTCGACGGCGACTCCGACTCCGGAGCTTCGGAGATTGGGGCAGAATCCAAGTGCGTTGGGTGCTGGGAGTTCAATCATCCACCACCAAAACCACATGTTTTAGGCATCTATCGGTATTTGCACATTATTTATATCTATATCAATATATATATATATATCAGAATTTACATGTCTAATTTACATATGCAGTATATACACACCATGGTGGGATGGCTTTCGTGCTGATGCAACATCGTTCATCGCTGATGGTGAAACGGAAATTTAGCTCTAATTCACCGGCCTGCGCCTTCTACACCTCCAAGAGACCCCGGGTGCCCCTTTAGGCGTCGTGCTAGAATTCAGCAAGGTTGTTACTCCACATCCCAGCCTACCATACGTAGGATTTCCCGAATTGGACACCTGATGACACCTGCATGTAAAGACCAAACTTTGCAGATGACGTGAGGCCAGTCATGACATGCGAAGCCGCTGCCGAAAGCTCGTGCACGAGCTGCATGTGTTATTCATCCCTCCCCACGGCGCAGTCGGCCATGGATGCAAAGCCTGTGGTCACTGAGATCGCAGAGAGGTCCGGGGGGGGCTGCGGCGGGCGCTGTGGGACTCAAAGGAGTTGGTCGACCAACTCGAAGGAGTGGGTCCCATTTGTAGAGGATCAAAACTACACTGAGATCCCAGAGTGACCATGGAAGATCCCATGCAGACCGCGGGCCATTCAATTTTCAGGTTGAAATGTTACCTTTCACAGAAAGAGCGCCAAAGCGTGCTTCTTCTTCTAGAGGTGTCAGAAAAGTTACCACAGGGATAACTGGCTTGTGGCAGCCAAGCGTTCCTAGCGACGTTGCCGGCTCTTCCTATCATTGAGACGCAGAAGTCCCAGGCTCCCAGAAGACCAAGAGACACAAAGAGAAACTGGGCACACCCAAGATTTCAGGTTCTTGTGAGTCAAAGCAGAAGCCTCAGCAATCGATAAAAGAAAGTGCACAGGCAGCGCAAACTGGGCGCCGCTCCATGTGTCCCGTTGCGTTTGGGTGGAGCAGAATGCTGCTTTTTCTGGACCTTTCGGGGCCAAGCAGTCTCAGCAGAAAGTTCCCAAGAGTTCCTTGGTCCATCCAAAGCCAAGTTTCTGATGAACACAAGCAGGCGACAACAGCAGGTGACATTCATCCAAGCAGCTGGGGTGCAGAGGAATGCGCCCGAAACAGACTTTGTGTCGGGCAGTACGCTGCAGGCCTCACGCGAAGCCAGGTGGTTGATGTGCAACGTGGGCGCGTACGGAGGCCCAGGAGAGATGAAGATATGAAGCTAAGGCTGTTCTACAGAAAAAAGGGTGTCCAAGCCATAACCACTTGCATCGGAGAAGATGTATACAATGTACAAAAATACAACGTGTATATGTACAGTATATGCATGTGCCAACGTGTGGCAACAGATCTCTTTGAATAGATTGAGCGTCGCATCAAGTCGAATAACCCACAGATGAGCGCACGATCTCAGGATGGGCGTCGCTTCGAAGACTTGCTGCAAAAGGTAAGGCAAAGTAGCTTGGCAGGGCTCGTGTCTTCCAGATTGGAGGGGTTTTCCCTGGTGAAAAGATGTTGGATGGCTGAAAAGCGGCAGTAGACTCAGTAGACGACTGGGTCGAGCAAGTGTGCGGTGTTGCGGCATCGCTATCAGAGGCTTCATCAATTGATGTGTTCAGTGCTGAATCTGTTGGTCAAGAGGGGCGATTTCGGGGATGAACGATATGCCACATGAGCCCCAGCATAGCCAAAGAATTAGTTGCAAAATATTAAACAGGGATTTGTTGGGATCCCTTCCGCCTTTCATGGAAACTCTTCCAAGTGATCCAGGGATGCAGCTTTGCTCGCCGTGAGGCCCTCTTTACAAGAGCCTATAGCCCTGCATTGGTTGTTCTACCTGAGAGCTCTCAGCCAGTTTATGCTCAGGTGATTTGGAAACAGACCTCATCAGCTACGGCATTCTCATCAACGCATGTGAGAAGGGCAACGACTGGCAACAGGCTGCTCATTTGAGTGAGGACTCAGCCATTTTGCCACTTGTTTCCTTTGCCATGCTACTCTTAAAAAGAAGTGAAACATTGCCATTGAGTTCTTAAGCAACAAGACCTTATTGATCTTTATTGATCGTTGATCTGAAATGCACCGTTGCTCCCGAAGGCCATGGGGCTGCTGGAAAGGATGTCGAAGCATGGCATCTTTCCGGACGAGTTGAGCTACAATTGCGCACCTCGGCCGCCCGGGCGAGGCGTTGGAGTGGGTGGAACTCTGGTCGGTCGAACGTGGGTCGAACGGGCAAATCCTGTCGATGCTGAGATGATGCTGAAAGATTCCCATCAAAAGGCTAGTGGCTAGGCATGTAGGATAGTTGATGCAACATGCAGTCTTTGGGGGTGTTGGTGTGGTAGAGCCATTTGGATGGAAAGCCAACAGAATCAAATCGCACCTGCAGTCTCTTTCGTGTTCTCTACGCGTTTCCTCTCACTAGGCCATCCGCGCCCTTCGAAGCTGCAGCGGATGGCCTTGTGCTTCGTGTCTTGGAGTCCACGAGACCTCCATAGTGACGACCCGAGATCTACAGCACCAATAAGTGTACACTCCTGAGTCAACTCACATAGACCCGGGTCCTGGCTGGCCCCCTGGAAGAGTGTTTTCCGAAATCTTCCTCTACCAACCAGTGGTTTTCAGGGTCCATGTTAGTCTTCCAGAGTGTACGGCTGATGATTTCGCAACCCCAAGAATCCCACGTTGGGACTTGGGCTTCTTCCCGAAGAGGGGTTGCGCAGCGTCTGAAGCACCTAATCTACCTGTGCGTGCCTGCGTTTGGATCATGCACCGTTTTTGTAGATGCTTTACCTGCTGAATGTTGCACATTCACCCTCCCTCCCAGACCACGCAGTTGTCAAAGGTTTCAGCTGGTCGCCAAGCATGTTGCAGACATCCTAGTTTAGCCAGTGGGTATGAGGCGGAAATCAAAGCCGGGATGCTTTCCCGAGCTTGGGATGGACAACAAACTCCCAATGACTAATCTGAATCATCTGAATCTAAATATTAGATCAATATTAGTTCAAAAACGACCAGAACAGCGTTGACCAGCCTGATTGTTACCTCCAGCCCGGGGGAGACTCCAGGCATCAATTCGCAATCCGGATCAACCCGCTATACAGCTGATCAACCCAATCGTCATGAAAGGCCTGTTGCGGCCGCGCACTCTCAGGAGCTCTCTTTATCACATGAAGACCCGGTCGGTGCAGCCATCCCAAGCCAGCTACAATGCACCAAAGCACAAGCCGGTTGGCCGGTCGGTGGGTGCCATAAAGATGTCCAGTCCGAGTCTTAAGCCACCGGGTTTGGGGGTGGGTTTTTGGGTGTCGCCACTATACAATCTCAAAGGATGGGGAGTTGTTTTTCTAGGTTTGTCTTGTCCCCAAGAGTACCCTAGAATGGGACACGCTCAAGTTATGCACTTGCTGGATCAATGCTGGATTTGAACACCAGGCTTGTAGATACTTCACATTGCTTTGATGACACATGTGCCACAAAGAAAGCCTGGTGTGGAGAAATCAGTTCCAGTCGCAAAGGCACGTTGGTGCCACAAACAGTTCTCCACTGCGGACGGTCCACAAAAGATACATGGTCGTAGTGTTGGTCGTTTGAGGAGAGACATGGAACTGGCAGAGACATGGCGTTGCACGCGATGAAACCTGTCTGTCCCCAATGACTCTGCAAACCGACCGTGTTCTGAGAAGCATCCTGAGGGACATACACTTGTCCGCATGTAGTGGGCGTGCCTAATTTATGTCGTTCGAAATTCGCATGCATGGAGTACCAATTGAACAAGGCCTACAGCTGCCTACTATTCACTATTCTTGTGTGATTCAGGCAGCCAGGCGTGATGTTGAGTATCTTGCCGTCCAAGCTGCGTTTGGCTGCTGAGGCATTGATATCGACTTGTGGCTGGCAAGAGGCAATGACACTTGGTTGGATGTCAGAAAGTCACAAGGTTGGTACTTTCCAGAAGGTTGATGTAGTAGTACAGCTAAGCATTCCAATCGTGCATAAGCATTCAACGCAGGGTGCTCGAGGCAGGTCTGACTGGATTCATGGGCTTGAGGATGTTCCAGGAAGGATGGGGAGATTTGATCCAACTTTTTGCAAAGTTATGTTGGTTGAATTACTTTTTGGTAGAGTCTCTGCCTACGTACTATGGACTACAGTCTTGCTTTGCGTGCCATGGCCCACGGATCGTGGGTCTCAGGAAGACCGTGGACGAAGCGATCACCCACAACATCCCACTGGCTGCGCAGGGCTCCTCGTGCACCGATGGAGACGACGGGAGACAATGGACCGATCGGTAGAAACATCTCCGGTGACGAAGGCATTCGAATCGTGCATTTTGGCAGGAATGGACCTGGGACCACTTAGAGAAGCTGATGTTTTTGGGGAGCAGCGAAAAGCAGCAAAAACTCGCTTGACCAACAAAGAAGCCGAGCTTCACATGATTCGTTCAAAAGTAAGCAAGGTTGTGGTTTCAACTGAGTTCGTAAAACCAGCAGAATTGAATCTGCGTGAAGATATGGATGTGAGGTGATCATTAGGACACTGGGATCCAGAAGCAAAACACATAATGCATGGAAGTGATAGGCTTTGGGCTTGTAATGGAACTCACCTAGCTTGGTCTTGCAGCAGTTTGGCTAATCAAATACCCACCAGGGCACGTGTTTCTTTTCAAGGCTTCCACGAAGTCTTCCACGAGCATTCTTTTCCGATGGGTCATGGCAGCGAGGGGCTTTGGTTGACCACGGCCAATGAACAGAATAGACTACCAGTCAGAGGTCAACGGTCAACCTACCCTGGCGAGGTCGGGGCTCGCTCCAGGTGACCGCCATGGCTCTGAGTGTCCAACTGGTGACGGGTCCGTGTCTCAGCGGCGCCCAGGCTTCAACAGTGCCATGGGTCCATCGACACCCTGGCAACGGTCCATTGGACTGGTCAAGGAGCTTCCTCGGAAGCAGGTGGAATGGGCAAGCTGCCGGGGCTGAGAATGCTGAGAACCCCTTTCTCAAGGGTGATCTTAGACTAGGGATGACTAGGGGGCCCAACCAATTGTGGGGAGTGTCTTCTGTGGCCTGAGCTGCCTTTTATACTGTATCTCGTAACTCTAAGATGTGCGTTGTGTAGATGAAGTTCAACATGCCTGCGGAGACACCATCAAGACATATCAAGACCACGACCGGTTTGATGACACATCATGACAAGGCCACCACCGTCGGGTGCAATGGTTTGAGATGTATCATGAGGTGCCAGTGTCGCTGATTAGAATAATGTGAACTTGAAGTCGACTCAAACCATGTGGATCACCTTGTGGAGCTTGCTGCCCGAGGTCCCGGTGTTTGCAGACTTGCTGCCCAACTACTCGTCTACGTATGTTCACATCGTTCACATTACTGTTCCTCCGGTGGATCTATAAAATCATATAAAATCTACGTACAAATTGCAAGAGCCGGAGGAACACCTCAGATGAGATTGCTCGTAGGTAGAGATTCTGCTCTGGACTTCGTATCGACTGCACCGTTCACAACCCGGCCGTTCACATCGATGCCGTCTGTCTCGCCGGATCTGGTGACACCGGTGGGCCAGGTGCAAGTGGACCGGATCACCTACAACTCGATCAGCCAGGCACTACCGGACGTCGACATCTCGCCACGTGGCCGAAGAATGTCTCTCCATCAGCTGGGGGAGTGTCAGCTGGGCTTCTCAGAATGCACACCGTTTTCATGAATGAAGCGACGGAACCATCACTTCATTCCCCAAGAGTTATTCAACCACATTTATGTATTGCCATCGGGTCTTGAGTCTTTGCTGCAATCATCCGCCTTCCCTACCGATCGTCCTTTTCTGACGATCGGCGTCCGAGTCGGTGGCCCACTGCTTTGGAGCTCCTCAGCATCTCCATGCAGCGCACGCTGCGCCCTGGGGGAGCGGCCTTCTGTGTGCTTCGGCAGAAGACGCAGGAGCTGGACGGGTGGCGAAAATGGGGGACTCAGACTTCAGACTCACCACCCGGTTGATCACTTTTTGCAGGTAGATGAAGGGGGCAGTGGGTGGTTTTGAGATGTTCAAGAGCAGGGTCAAACAAGTATTTGCGAATGAGTTCGAGTTCATTGCAAAAGCCGCTAAGCCGCTTCAAACATGCCTTCAAACGTTCTAAGCCTTCTTCGGTGGCTTGAGCACTGGTTAGTGTCTTGAGCACACTGCCTGCCGCTGAGGGGAGTCAGAACTCAATGCCATGGTTCTGATCTTCGGATAGCAGAGTTTTGATATCCAATGGCAAAGCAGGTGTTGAGTTGCGGAGTGGCATCATTCAGAGCCATTGTGGCTGCAGAACCTGAAAGTGAATGGACTCCTTGTGGGAACTTCCAATGGCTGGACGGCTGGGTGGACAGTCTATCGAAGGAGTGAAACAGTCTACCGGCTGGATGACTGACACTTGACCGTCTTGGACACGAATCGAGAGTCCACAGTGGTCCACTGCATGACTGATGCTTTCGGCTGATGCCTTCTGCTCCTAATCAGGTGACCGTCACAGCCTGCAGCAAAGACTTTGCAGCTTGGCAGTTTCTTTGCAGCATGCAGGGTTGTTTTTTCCGGTTGTGGTTGCCAAACGATGTCAAACGTTCATGTGGGGCAACAGTAGACACACTACAGTCATTCACAGGGAATTCTTGAGCAGGAATGGTTATGTATATCTTCAAGGCTATGTCAAACCGTTTGGGTGAGCACACGAGGGTTGAACCCATGGGATCCTGAGAAGTTACTCAAATGTGAAACGGTTTGAGTGAAGCGATCCAAAGTGAATGGGATCGCGGGATCGTATCTTTGTGTCATGATCCAAAGCTTCCAGATTTTATACACGTCGTTGTTGCGTACAACCACCCCAATGAAGGCCAAGTGTCACAGCAATCGTGCCCAGGTTCACTTTGGCGCTGCTGGGCACCGCCGAGACGTCGGCCTTGCTGGATCTGCGGATCTTCACCACGGCGCTCAGCGCCGTCCACTGGACCATCGCTTTGCGACTCGATGTTGGAAGCGATTCGTCGTGGAGGTTTGAGGTTGGTTGGCTGGGTTTCGGAGGGCAAGGCGGTCTAATATGATTTATTAAAGATATTTTAAATTTATCTGCCTGCCTTCCCAAGTCGATGAAACGACCCATCAGTGCGGTTTGAAGCTTTGAGTGTGTTTTTCTCCAACAGACTGATCAGTGCGGGGTCGGTTCACTTTCTTCGTATGGGCTTTGTAGTCGTGTTTTCGACCACCCTTCTTGCAGGTTCCTGCCTGGTTTGGCAACTCACCCCGAAATGGTTGCGGTTGCACGGGTACTGCAATTTTGCTATGCGTTTAAAGGAACCTGAGGCCAGAGCCCCTGAAATTGCAACAACCATAGAAGCGCAACAACTCCAGTTTACAGAGGATTATAGTCTTCCAAGAGGCTCCAGTCGTTTGAGGTATTTGCTCAAGAAAGGTACAAAGACATTGTTCATGTGTCAGTTCGCCATACTATTGCTGTTCTCTAAATCCTACCACGCGGAGGACGCCTCTATATCATTCTATATCTATTTCTAAGTATTTCTACTAGGTGACAACCAGGAAAAGATGTTTGCCAGTTCCACTAACCACACTTTCATGCTCCACTCAAACATAAAGCTGCCATTGATGTCAGGTGCCTTTTCAGGGAGATGAAGCAGAAGATCACGCCTGATGTGGTGTGTCACTCGCCCAAGCCAGCGAGTGCTAAACAAGAAAAGAGCCAGGCCAAAGGATGGCTGAAGTCATTTTATGTCAATATTGTGCTGTACTTTCCGGTTCAAGCCGGAACTTCTGGAAGCCCTAAATTGTAGGCCATATCCAACATACTGACACACCGACATACTATGACGTACTCATATATCTTGGGAGGTGGATGAAACTGGTTGGTTGATGTTGGTTGAAGGCCCGATGAAAGGGCCTGCCCAGATGCACTGTTCTGACTTCACTAGTGTTCTTCTTTCATGCACTGCGCTTGTGGCGACTTCATGGCAGCATCATGGGGTGACGCAAATCTCTTGTTTGGAGTGTTGCAGGCTACAACTCCTTGATTGGTGCCTGCGAACAAGGGAGCGCTTGGCAGGCGTTCAAGCCGACCCCGACCGATGGGGGGGGACCAGGTCTCAAGAAGTCGAAAGCAGGTTGGATCAAGTTGGATCTTCCCATTTCGTGCAGCGAAACAACCCAAAAAAGAGGAAAAGATCGTGCGACTGGCATTTGGATACTGATCGCCAGCAATGCCTACCGAGCCTGATGCCTGCCGGAGGTGGCGTTGGAGCTGTATCGTGAAGCACGGAGCGGTTCAGCGGATCGTGCCTCGGTGGGGCCTCAGAGCCTGGGGATGGGCTGGTGGGTTGTGAATCCATACGAAGACACCGGGAAAAGGTCCCGTTTTCCAGGTCAAAGTATGTTTGTCGAAGAAAAATCGCATAGACATGCATGAAGTAGCTGTGTATGTCCATGAGTTGAAGGAGGTTGGTGTTGGTTCTTCCTCCATTCTTTGCCCAGTGGTGCTTTTCAAATTGAGATGGTCAAGCCTTCTGGCGCAATGTTGGCATAAATATCATAAATGTGATAGAGTCTCAGCAGACATATTGGCGATCCATCTCACCTTGAAGCTAAGATATCACGTGGCACCTTGCTGTCGATGATTTTACTGAGAGCTTATTGACTGGTGAGTTCAAAGCAATACAGTAGCTGAGGCACTGGACACGCCAATGTTTCGGCCTCAGAGGGGACACAGACGCAAAACCGCCCGGTTCCGCTGCACGTTCCTGTGCAACTCACCTTGTGAAGGCACAGTCAGATAGATGAACAAGACTGGGACCCATTCAATAGCGGCCCTCTCCAAGGGGGGGTGCATTCAGGCTAGAACGTCTTCTTTGCTTGTCATTTCTTTTTTTAACAAAGGCCGCATTCGTGCGAGGGTCAGGTCGAGGGTCATGTCCACCTGCTTCATTGAGCCACTGCCATGGCCACTTAAGGAGATGACCTTCAACATGGCCTCCTCGGCTTGTCAGCGCTGCAGCCGTTGGGAGATGGCACTGGAAATATTTCAAGGCAACATGGCGGAAACTCAGAGGATGAGACCCACCGTCAACGGCCTTGCGCGAACGGGGTTCAAGCCATTCACCTTGTTGGATGTGTTGGAGGAATCTGCAGTCATTCGTGGGGTGCTAGCACTGTGGGGGTCCAACACAGCAGAGTTGGAGGAGTTCCAAGGTCTTGGAGCACATGCGCTCGAAGCCAACCTGGTGAGCTGGAACACTGCCATGATCAGCTGCCAACGGGGCCACTGGTTCTTTGCCTTTCACCTGCTGAACACCATGGTGCCCTGGCCAGCATCCGGACGCGTCCGGAACCCGACGCATCAGTGGCAGGGGTTGTGATGGGTGATGGATGGCTGCCGTGTTTGCAAACCGGCCACCAATCCCATGTAATTCCGGAAAAAATGGAAGAGGCATCAAAGGCGTGTAGGTTTGTTCGATTTTGTGCGTTCCGTACTCCACAATGTTCGCTCCTTTTCTTTGATATTTCTTGTGAGGAGTTGACTTTGGAGGGTCATGGACCATTTGATGTTTGTTGGTCCGTGGGTCATTGCAGGTCATTGCCCTGCCTTCTTCACAACATCTTCCTGAATTTAGTTGCTGAGGGCTGAGGACAAGTGGAACCGCTCTATCGTGGCATCATGTTGATGTACTCTTTTCATGCGTGTCGTGTTTGACGGTTGTTGTCCAATGTTTTCATAGTTGGAACTATGTTTTTGTTATTCAGAGCTCTAGATTCAGCAGACTGACTGATTGCGCAATCAGGTGGAAGGGTGAGCATCAAGAGCAAAACATGCAAAAACCTTCAGAGTGCAATTGAAAAACAAATGAGATAGTCAAGCCATATTGGATTGCATGCCAGAAGTGAGAGCGCGTCGTTCGAATTGTTCAATTCGGAGTCCAGTTGAGCCTAGAAAATATCAGATGTTGGCACCTCGTGTTTCTGGCACCTCTTTGGCAATTGACCGCCGTACGGGGATCATGGGACTCAATCTCAAATACTTCAACCACTTTCACCCCCAAGTAGCCAAGTAAGGACCACCCAATACCATTTTAAGCTACGTGTCGGGAAGTGTACCCTTTTTCTCGGTGTGTCTTCCAAAGATCTTCAGCAGTAGCACTCTATCAGGCGCTGGTGCCTGATGAGATCAGCAGCTCTTCTTCCATCACGTGTTGCGCTCGAGCAAACCAATGGACAGTCTCCTTGAATCTACTTGGGCAGATGCTGGACCCTCGGATCAGTCAAGTTTTGCACACCACACGTGTGGAGTGCGCGGCTTTCGCAGCATCAGTCACAGGATTACAGTGATTATTAATGATTATTATACAATATATTGTATAATACTATATATAGATAGATATACTAATACCCTACAAACCATTTGAATGTGTGAATTCCTCCATTCCCGGGCGCCCAAAGGGGCTTCCTTGCTCGGATCAGGAGCGACGGATCGAGACCCGGCGGCCGCCGCGGCTGTCGCCCGTGACGTTCAACGCGGCCCTGGCGGCCTTTGACAGCTTTCAGTGGAGGCCGGACAAACAGCGCGTCAGGAGGGCTGTGATGGATTCAGCCATTGCGTTTACGACAAATAAGTGAAGGAATGTACTGGTAGTTGTTTCTTGGAAACCTGTAGCTTTGCTTTTATTTGTAAGGTGGGGTAGACCTAGATGTGGGGTTTCAAATTCTCCACAAAGCGTCTTGAAATGTGGGCCTATTTCTGCGGCTTTGGGATGATATCAGATAGTTGATAGACTGGTAGACGTGGTCTCAAGATGTTTTAAGGTACGGTGTTTTAAGGCACTTGAAGACAGGTGAGGGAGGATCATAAGGTGGACTGCAGATGAAAACCTCCAAGAACCTTGTATAGCCATGGCACAGCACCAATGCCAGGTGGCCATTGCACTTGCTGCAAGCCATGAAATCTTTGGGCACCCGCCCAGATCTCATCAGCGCATGCCTCAGCCACAACTGGCCGCTGCAAGACCAACTTTGTGGGTGGTGCCTCGAGCAGTGCGACTCCCCAACCAATCACAGGTTTTGTGATGTTTGATACTACCCCATAGTACTACCCCTTTTTGTGGCTGTAGAAGTTGCAGCACCCCTCTTTGGAGCATGATAAGCCGACACAGAAGCCACAACCACAGCTCAGGGTGAAAGCCCCCAAAAAGATCCGAAACGAAATGTGTCAAAAGAACAATGAAGAACTTGGATTGAGCCATAGCTAATTACATAATACCCTGCTCTATATATGGTGTTATACCCAGAGGCTGTTTGGGTACCTGGTGTCCTGGTGGATCATACTCCCACTCCAACCGGCACGGCTGTACAGCCACCTGAAAGGTCACAGCTGTACCGCCATCGCCACGGCTGTGGTCAAATGGCCGTTGGCAGCCAGCTTGTTGGAAGGAGTGATGGGAGCAGCAAAGCAGACCAACCAAGTAATGTAGCCAATGCTCCTGCGCATTCGAACGCGAGTAGATAGGGAGGGGTGCTGGGTTTGTTGGAGCGGCAGAGTTGCCAAGTGCAAAGAGTGTGACAGCTTCCTTTTCTGGACTGATGATTCTCCAAACTCGGGAGAAGAAAGCACTGGTCAAATGCTCACACCCGAAGACGACGAAGTTTTCGCGGAGGCGGCCTCAGCGACGCCAGTGGCCCCGTGGTGGCGATGGCCTTGGGTGATGCTTCGGAATGGCACCAGGCAGGGAGCAGGGCGAAGCAGGGCGAGTGAGCCTTGGACGGATGTGAACTCATTCAAGAGAATCGCGGTCTAGCAGAGGTTAGCAGAAAGGTTGGTGGATATTGCTCAACAGATTTCTCGAGATGTGGAGGTGGGTCTGTGTCGGAATGTTCAACTAGATCTGTTTGGTGTTTTATAAGGCCGTTTGGATTTGGATGGCTGGATGTTTGTTTGCTGTGCTGGCGGTCGTGCCCTTCCTTGGCCAGGTCTTCGAGCTGATCTCCAAGATGAGCCTTACCGGAACTGGCAGGGTTGAGGAAACGGGATTGTTGGTGATTGTATACCAAAATCCCCACTTCTTGCAGCTTTGGAAAGAGGAGTATCCACGATGTAGTACTACCGGCACAATATGGGTTGCCAATGGTTGCCCTAAACCTGCAGTTTACAGGTGTAGTGTAGTGTAAAGAAATCAAAGCACACGTTTTGTCAGTTGAGATGGGATGGTTTCTGTCTCTAACACCAAGGACTCTCTGCCACCATCCCCGGCACCTTGAACAACCACCAAGGACTTTCCGTGAAGACAATATCTCCGGCACCTCCCCGCTTGGCTCGACAGCGCTGGTGGATCGGGCCATCGAGTTGGCACCCGGCACGGTGGTGGCACAGAAGATGTTGAAGGACCGGTGGACCCGTCGACGACGTCCCGTGATGCTCGGTCGGTTTAACGGCGGTACACGGGTGGTCAGACGGCAGCATGGCAAAGTCCAGTCCCCCAAGGAGCTGAGGAGCTGAAGATGGTGACGTTTAGGTTGTGGGCATTTTGTTGGGCCCATGCTGAGTCTCACGTAGTCACCGGCTGGTGATCACGAAAGCTAGCATGCTAGCTGAGTTCTTCTTTGCTTTAGCAATTGGTAGTGGAATGAGCTGCGTGCCTTAAAGCTTGATATATCAC